CAATATAAAGAATGTCGAAAGAATGTTTACAACTTAATAAAATACTATAAATTAAATCTTATAAATGAAAAATAAAGTCAGGAATATGAATAGAAATAAACAGAGTACCAGCTCCCAACGGAGCGGAGCACTGCGACCATGGTTGATCCTTTGTGCAGCAACAGACCTTAAGCCATCGGCCGTTGAGGACCTCCTAGTGTCAGAAGAGGAGAGTAGTTCTCGACCCAGTGACCACCTTCTAGCCCAGACCAAGGCTTGGGCGTCACAGACCATATGACTGGAAATCTCGCCTGCTTCTAGGGAGAGTCGACTATCTATCACTTCGGACAGACCCATTTTGTTAAGTAAATTTTTCATTTATCTTCCATCCAAATTAATACTTCTAATAACTAAACTGTTTCTGGTTACAATAATATAAAGATTTAAACGTGTGTGATATCAAAAATTTATGATAGTTGTGCTCAGATATTTATTAGCCGCTTTAATATTTCAAATTTAATATTTAATATTGTAACATCTGCTATCGTTTGAAGTTAAACATTAAACATTTTGTAGTAAAATATTTCGTCAACATTATTTACGTGTTATTCGACATGAAGCTCACTTATGTACATGATTTGTACATAAAAATACCATAAAAATCATTTTCAAAAGAAAAAACATCTGAATTATCTATAAAAATTAAAGAAAAGTCATGCAGGTACATTACCAGGTATATCGCTCACGTCAGTCTATGTGAATCACAAAATGTTTTTAAGTCGTCATAAACCAAATTACTAAAAATATATAACAACCATTTGGAGTTGTCTGTCGTCTTCGTATATCTTTTGCCTATATAAAATTATGTCTATTAATTTGTGGTATTCCTATTGATTCCTATGATTTTGGATTTTATCACGAACTTAGATTGATTTTCTGTGAATTGTTGTGGGACGTTTTGGGACATTTTGAGACACACTTACTGTTGGTCTGTCATTTCTGCAATTAATTGCAAAGTAAAACTTTAAATGTGAGTTTTTTATGTATTTTGTATAAAAATGAATAAATTTTTATTTGTTTTTTATATATTAAACATTTTTATCTAACTTTGTTTTGCTTGTATGAGACAGGAAGGAATTTAACGAAAAAAGGACTTATGAATAATTTTTACAATGCATGCGCCGGCGTCATTATAACACACGCCATCTGCTTCAATTAGTCAGACCTATAACCAAAGGTTATAGGTGTATTCCTAGAACTATTTCAACTATGAAATCATGTAGGAATAAATAGGAAGCTACGCCTTTCACGCCTTTTCACCGCTTTTTGCTCTATTCAGAAGGTTTTCCATGGCGCAATAAATTAAGCTAATTTTTCTACTTATTTGCCGTTTCGATTTACTGCTGGTAAATATCCTTTGATAGTGTAAAACAAAAAGTAAATACTGTACATTTTTATATGAGTTAAATTTCCTCTCTCGTGCAACAACGTTAATTGTTTGTTTATGTTTTCGGTGCTTGTGAACCAATGCCATTCAATGCCATTTGGCCATTTGCATTATTTTTTAATAAGTGTTCAGGGACCGAATGACTCAGCGGAAATTTTAATTTGAAATGAATAGCAGTCACAGCAGTAGTAACTGTCTGCAGGCTTCTACCCATACATACCTATATATAGTATATTATATGTGAATAAGTTAGTATTTGTAACTAATGTATGAAAGTTACTAGAACTATGTAAGAAGTTCTAAGTTTGAATTTTTTGTTACAAAGTGTGTTTACCTTAGAGGGGTTATATATAAAACCAAATATCGAACATATTCAGACTAAAGTATCAATACTGAAACTTCCAATATATGTACTCTGAAATGATCTAATAAACTATACTTTTTAACTCACTTTAAAAAATTAAAAAAAAAATTTTAGATCTCTAGATTTCTTTTTCTCTTTTTAGAATACTATCTTTGTTTTTAAAGTTTTGCCTCTTTTATTCATAAAGTTATATTTTTTTTAAGATCTTGTCTTTTTAGTTTTCTAGAGATCTTAACCTTTTTCTTCAATTTCTTGTCCTTCAAGAGTTTTGTCTCTTTTTATTTATGCCTCCGTTAAAAGTGTTCTTCCTCATTTTAGGATTTTGTTTTAGGTTAGGTTTTATTTCCTTCTTTCAGTGTTTAGAGATCGTAAATCGATGTTTGAGCCCAAAATCTAATTATATCAACTAATATTTAATCATATCTATTATTGTTACTGTTGTTGTAGAGTTTTAAACCATGAACCATTTTGAAGATAGTTAATAAAAGAAATTATTTTTTTTAATCAAATAATTTCGACATTCCATAAATTGAAGTTAATTTGTCATTTTTCTAAATTTTATTATTGATATTATTTAATATTTTATTTTAAGTATAATTATTTTTTTATAATAATTGCGTTTTGGATTAGTATATGCAACAGAACACTATTGTTTTTGATTATCTTCGTTTATACCATATACGTATATATATATGTTTACAAGTATAATAGAATATAGGTATGTCGCTTTGCACTTGAAACGTCAGTTCTTAATGGTTTGGTTATTCACGTTTATTGGGTTCTTCATGTGAATTGAGAACTGCATTTTACATATTTGTATGTACATACATATTTATTAAGTTATTAAGTTCACTTGGAACATTTCGTCAAATTCTCAATATTAAATAGATATTATTTCTATATGTTATTTTAAATAGTGTGAAATATGAGTTGTTTACAACATATCGTGTTTCCAATCCATGTCTCAGTAAGAGCGTCAGAATAAATCGCATAGTACATCAGTGTAAAATGCGATTCTGTCATTACAGTAAATAAAAAATTAAAAAATATAAACATATCAAGTGTCTCATATAGAAAAAAATATATTTTCAGTGTAAATTTTCAAATTTTCTAAAAATAATTTATGCATACATATGAAGTTCCATTCCATTCCTATGGAAGACTGCTTAAGCGACATATGGGTGTGATGAAAAGTAACTTTGGGACGTAGATTTCCCATATTTGTGTGAATTCTATATAGAGAATGTTAAATAAATTTTTTCAAATATTTTGTGTTGAAAAAAAATATATTTCGTATTAAAATATTACTATCTTGACCAAGCTACTTTGCTAAAATGTTAATTGTTTGCTATATATGCTAAGTATCTGCAATTTAAGTTACTGCAGAAACTACCATCCGAATTATAAAAATTCTTATAGAAACGTTAACTATTTTTTTTATATAAAGTTTAATTAAATGTCAACAAAAATATATGTTTAAATTAATATATTTAAATTAGTATCTTTATGTTAAAAATAAATTTATTTGATGATCTTCTTATGTGTGTACTTATTCTTTGAAAAAGAATAGAAACATTTAATAAATCTTCACTATCAGCAGTTACTATGTTTTCATGTCTAAATTTTAAACATTTTTTTCGTTTTTGTGCTCTAAAAAAAATTAACAAATTAGATTATTTAATTTATTGCTAATTTATTTGTTTATAAAATCTTCATTATTTTAATTTGCAAATAAAGAAATACAAAACAAATTTTTTTTTATTTTCATATCAACACCAACCAGCCACACTTGAAAAGTCCATTTTTAATTTTAACATTATTCTGTTTAATTTATTAACATTTAATTATATTCTTTTTATTATTTATTTATTTCATTTCCACAAATTTGTAGATGTACTTGTATATTTATTTTATTTAATTTATTTACATATTTACGTATATGAGCAGGAAAGTTGTTAAATAAACAACGAAGGCACGGTCGGTCGGCTGTATGTTTATATGTGGGGGCACATGTGCGTTTGTTTAGCTACTTTTTTAATATTCAATTAACGCATTCATGTTAAAAAATAACAAAAGACAATATATATACATATATATGTATATAAATATGTGTTAAAATTGTTTAATATTTTTAAAAGTGTTTCACTTTTTGTCAATCAAAAATCCATATTTACGAAATTTTTTTCCTCATTTTGATAATATTTTTATGAAATAATTTTCTTATATTTAAAAGATATATTTTATTCATATATATTTATTAAAATCATTTAGGAATTTTAAATATGTTTATTTGTATTTTATATAATTTTCTTTATATATTATTTATTTAAATTTATAAAAATTAATACTCATGAAGGTTTTATTTCTTAATAAAATATTTTAGAATACAATAGTTTATATAAATACATATTAAATTTATCTTTTTTTTTTTATTTGGATCAGATATTTCATATTTTCAATTTAGTTTTCGATTTTCAGTTGGATATGGTTAAAGTCTAAATTCGTATGTCAGAATCCACACTTCCACCTTTGATGCTGCAAATACACAGGACTCCTTCATTATATTACGTTAGGACTCCTCATAAGATATACTGCCTTCTAGTGATTAGTAATTCATGTTCAAATTCTAATTAAAGAAAAACTTACATGACTTCAACAAATTCATTTTCCTTGAGAATTTCGTCACGCTTCTGATATTAGTTTTTGATACTTATTCGGGTTCCACGCAAAAGGATTTTGTAAGAATAGTAACCTACTTAGATCTAGGTTTCTAAACAAAATAGGAGAAACTGATACTTGTTCGTTTTCTTTCTGGCAGATGTCGCAAATATCATCACTTAGAAATTGAAGTATTTCGGTTAAGCCTATTTCTTTCAGAAAATGACCTAAAACTCTATATAAAAAAAATGTTCCACAAACTTTTAACATTACACAAAAATTTTTTTTATAGGGAAAATAGGTATGAATAGTAATGATGAATACTTGAAATTAAATTACATATTAAACTGAAATTTCTTTTGATGTTTCATTCAGGATCGTTCAAAGAATCACAGTCATTACAAAGTAAAAGTACCTCCAACACTAACTCAAATACCACAAGTACTTATGTTTATAATGATTTTTATAGTTCATTTTTTTAATAATATATTTGATATGTATTTAAGTAAATGTTTAAACATCCTTTAATATCTCTTCATTTCTTATTTTCAGGATCTCGTCAAATCCCATTTGATGATAGCTGTTCGCGAGGAGGTCGAAGTCCTCAAGGAGAAAATCTCTGAACTAATGGACAAGATCAATCAGCTCGAGGTTGAGAACAGTATTTTAAAGGCAAACTTATCGCAAGAAACATTAGCACAATTGCAAATGCAGGCAAAGCTACAAATTGCTGGCAATAATGCCGCAGCGGCGGCCGCAGCAGCTGCAGCTGCTGCATCTGTTGTTAGTGGCACTCAAATGCAACAACAGCAAACAGCGGTCGCAGGAGGCATGGCAACAGCAGTGCCAACAGTTGGACAACAAACCATAAATGTTGCTTCAACACAATTAGTTGAGAATATAATTTTGCAACAGCAGCAGCAGCAGCAACAACAACAACAGCAGCAGCAGCAGCAGCAACAGACCACCATCAATGGACCAATGATGTAAACTGTCGATTGTGGTGCGCATAGAAAATCAAAGCAAAACAACAAGAAATGGTTTTGAACAACTTTTCAAATATTAATTTAATTAATTTAACCAAAAAATCAAACAAAAAAAAACAAAATTTTCAGAATCTCTACTACAATTAAGCGAAGAAGAAGCATTGGAAAGAAGAAAAAGAAAACAAAAAAAATATTTATTCCAATATTTTTTAAAATTTTATTTTTAGATAAATGTGTGTGCCGCCTGTCGTTTGTTACGGCCTAAAAACTGTAATTATTTAACAATAGTTTGTTTTTTGATATATTTTTCAATCCAAAATTATAAGAAACTATAAGTAATTTTTTGAGTTAAAAAAGAGAATTCTTTTTTCATTCTCTTTTCTATTTTCTCAAAATCATCTCAACAACAAGAGTCACACACATTTGTCAAGCAAAAATCCAACAAAATTTATGTTAAACTTTTATTTTGGTAAAAAATAAATTTAAATGTTTGCACAATAAATTATGAACTTAATAGATATATTACATTATCATTAACAACAACAACAACAACCAAAACCAAAACAAAAGCAATTATTTAAAGAAAAAAAAATTGTAGTTAGTACTGAGATTTGTGTGTTAAATCAATTAAAAATATATTTAAACTGCTACTAAGTAAACATGTTGCTAAAGATTTAGCAACACTCACAGCAAGCAACATCTGTACGTAGATGAGTTCATTTTGTAAAAACATATTATGCAGAATGAGTATAAGTTTGCGCTGCAAAATAAAAGATAAAGATAATAGAAAAGCGTAGCTGTGTAGCTGTATTTTTAAAGCAGCTTTGGCTAATTAAACTTCTTAAAGTCTTATGTTGCAGCAACATTTTGTTGTTGTCTACGCCACATAAGTATTAATGCAAATTGTTGTTGCAACATGACTACAAATTTTTTGTGATTTATTTTTAATTAATTAAAAAATTAAAGAATTAAAAAAAAAACTAATTAAAATAATATATGAAAAACTAAGGAGCATAAAGAACTCCCGCTGCTAACTGTTAAATACTGCATCTTTAACAAATACACATACATATAATGTATATGCGTGCATATATACAAGATTATATACAAATGAGCATTCACATAAAAGCAATGTAATATGTGACAAATAACTAAGCAAACGAAGTTGCAAAAAGATACAATATCAAATGTTTTGTTAGTATTTTTTTATTATTTTTTATTATTATTTTTTATTATATATTTTATATAATTTATGTACACACACACAACATACACAGTTTTATTATATATAAAAACATAATTTATTATATAAAAAAAAATTTTTTATACATAAATCATTTTCAATTTACGCAAATTCATATTACAATAAATCCATTATTTTATATATATGTATGTAATAAAAGAATTTAGTGTAAAAATAAAAAAAGATGAAATACAAATTTAAAAGAAGTTTTTTTTTGTTACGCATTGAAAACATTAAAGGCATGGAGAATTGTAAAATAATTTATGAAAATTATTGAATATGGTTGAATGGATATGGTTGAATATTGATATTAATTTGGAATTTGAAATTAAAAATTAAAAATTAAAAATTAAAAATTGCAGTAAAGAAATTGCAATCAATTACAAAGCATTATTATTTTTATGTAAAAAAAAGTATATGCAAAAAAGATTATTGTAAAAAAATGTATAAAACTTATATACAAAAAGTGATTATCATATTAGTTAAATTAATATTCATATATTTTATTCATCAAGTTAAAAAATTAACATTAATTATGATTATAATATAAAAATACTACAAACAAAAGAATATAAATGTGATTATTTGCTGCATAAAAAGTAAAATAAAAATGTAAATTTGAAAAATATAAATAAAATTATCATTAAAGAATTATCATAAAAAGAACCAGGATGCATAATATAACAATTGAAAATTGGCAAACAAAAAAAAAAAACACAGAAAACTAAGCATTACATATTCATATATAAATACATATATATACGTATATATAAATATGTGTAAAAATACGTATTTATGTGTGTATAAAATTAGCATATGGCACTTGCTATATATGCATTAAATTTTGTGTAAACAAAAGTATAAACAATATTTAAAAACAAAAATTAACTAAATAATAAAATGTTTAAATTCCAAAATAATTTTTTTATATACAGAAATATAATTTTTTTAAAATAATATTTTTGCTTAGCATATATATTTTAAATTAATTATAACTATAATTATAATTATGATAATAATATAAACAAAAATGACTATGTAAAATATAGAACACTCCCTATCCTCCTACACATACTCATGAATAATAATTATAATATTATGTATGCAAAGAAAAAGAAACTAACAAGTATTTGCGTAAATCAATATAAATTCTTAGAGGTTTTTCAATATAATTTTTGAAAAGCAGTATATGTGTAAATATAAATAAAAATAAGTATGACATTATAACAATTCAGCATGGTTTATTGCTTACAAATCGAACAATTATTAACTGTTATACATAAGTTGTAATCGTTAGTGTTATATGCTATATGCTAGCATTTATAATAGTTTTTGGTGTTTGCATAAATTTGCATAACAGTTCAACAGTACAGTACATATAAAAAGAAGTGTAGCAAAATTGAAGAAGAAGAAAAAAATTAAAGTAAATGAGAATTAAATAAATACAAATATTTTTTGTAAGTTATATTATTTTGTGATTTTTAGATTTTAGTTATTTTTAACAAAATCACATCCGAAAATATTAAAAATTTAAATTGAAAATCTTTTTGATATAATTTAAAAACTGTTGAATTAATAATAATAATAATAATAATAAAATGTTACCTTTCTTGAAACTAACATTTTCTGCGTAAACTGAACTGCAAAAAACTGAATTGCAAAAACAAAATTATTAAAAAATAATTGTAGCATGCAACAAATCATGCTTTTAATAATATGAAGTATATTTTTTTCTATTGTTTAAAATCTATATTTTATATATTAACAAAAGAGGAGAAAACTAACATCTAACATTGAAGAGTTCACTACTTCACTACTATACTGTTACGCTTGATTTATTTACGTTATTTATCATTTCAAAAAATTATTCATTCTTCTACATCTACATTTTTAAAATAATATCTCAACACAAAATCTTGTCGAATATATCTTGAATATATATCTACAACTACTGCAATAACAATAAAAATCAGAAAAAAGTAAAGAATATTTTGTTAAGAAAATCTGTAAAGAAGATGTATTACTACGTATCAGTTAAAATTATAGTTTGTTGAGTTATTTGTATGGGATAAAATATAAATATAATAAACTAAATTATAAATATCATATATATAGACAACAAAAAATATATCAACAAACTATAGCTTTAAATAATATACATACAACATTTCTTCCTTTTTTAAATATAACAAAAAATCTCCACAGAAATCTTATAACAGAACAGAACAGAACAGATCTTCTTAACTTGATATTTTTAACTTGGTTACTTTTTTATGATTTTCTATTGTTTATATAGTTGTACTTACATATAGTGAGTCTTCAAGGTATATTTAGCGAGTTATATGTACATACGGCGAAACGTATGATTTACACAAAATATATAATTTTATATTAACAAACTTGAGAAGAAAACAAGCACGATTGCTTAAACATTTATAGTAAATGTTTTGTCCATAAAATAGTTATAATTTTTAAGTTTAATTTAAGTTTTTATGCATAAAAATGTGAAAACATGCAATAAAAATTTTCAATTAAAAAACTGTTAGAGAATTACACAATAAAATTCAATTAAAAGAAATGTTTGTTATATATATATATATATATAAAATAATAAAACAATAAAACAATCCTGTAGAGACTCTAATTGTCTAAGGATATCGGCACTCACTTACGTGCCAAGCGAATAATGACAAGATTCTTTCATATATATATATGTATGTATATATGTATATGCATATATATATATATATAAATAAAAGCTGTATGTACTACCATTTGACAGTTTGTTTGTTACTATATGTCTTTTTCTAATATAAACATTTATTAAGTCAACATATCGTACAAAGCTATGCAGTTCAAGCTCCTTCTATAAATGGACCCTAAATCCTTTTGTAGGCTGTGCTGTGCCTGCGCCTGTGCCTGTGCGTGTGCTAACATTTAAGTACTTGAAAAAAAAAGTACGGTCAGTTGGACGTACTTGAGTGTTGTACATTTTGTGTCGATATCGACTTAATAATTTGTTAAGAATTAATCACTTGGATATGTATTTGTGTGCATCGCTGTAAATTGAATTGTGCGTGTGTTTGTTTGTATGATTGCTGCAAGTGAATGGATTTGTTAGTGTATTTTATAGTGCCAACTTTTCAGTTTATTGCTTACAAATGATATACGCAAGGGGACTTCCAGAATATTGTTGTCATGTGGTTGCTGCTCGTTGAATATATGTATAACATCAAATATAAAATATCAAATATCAAATATAAAAGAAAAAACAAAAAACAAAATTTTAAAACAAATTTAATATCAAAATAAACTGAAAGTCTTCTATATCATATATCATTTGACGGTATTTAAACTGCATTATTTATAGCATTATTATTAAAGATATTTTTTTTATACATTGACATTAACCTTATCATTAATATTAATATAAACATTATTATTATAATTACTATTAATTTGAATGCAAATTAATAAGTATACCTTAGGGAAGTATGTGTGAATGAGTACAAATAAACAGACAGACGGTTAAGCATACAGCAATTGCCTTATTATATACCGAAAAAATCTTGCAACCTACAGCGTTGAGTACAAATATCTTATATCTATCATCTATAACTGGCACTGTTACATTGACATTGGAACCAATAATAAAAAATTGTATTAAATATTATTTTTCAAGCATTATTTATTACCTATATACTTCATAATATTATAAACAATAAGAATCGATGATAAAATAATTAATTTATATTGATTGTGGATGCCGTATTTGTAATAAATAAAAGACAAAGTCATTGATAACTTTGTTAAATTTTATAATTTTTTTCTTAAATATAGTTAAATTTTTTTTTTATTATAATTATTATTTATTCCTAATTACTAGATTTATGATTTATATATAAGCAAATATGAAATGACGACAACAACAATTGTAAGCACTACTATACATTATTATTACATAAATATAAATAAATATAAATAAAAGTAATAAATTTTAAAAGAAAAACTAAAAGAATTGTTTTTTTTTCTTAAATAAAAATTTTAAATTACATTCTGTGTAAAAAGTATCCGAAGTTTATATGTTTTAAGAAATGTGTGTGTACTTTTCAAAAAGTCGGGGTAGCACTATACTTTATAACTACGCAATATATGAATACAATTTATAGCGCAATATTTTCATACAAGGATCACTGCTGTTGCCTCTTCAATTATACTTGTGAATGTTCCGTGATGCAGCAATCGAAAGTTGAGCACGATTGGTTACGCTCAGGGACCGAAAATATTAGTTATTTCAAGAATTAAAAACAAAAGCAGGAACAAACAGTTGTATAAACATATATATAACTATATAGTAATCATTCTAACAACTTTCATCTGTAATATTTGCATACATCTTATATATGAGCGTTTTAAAATAAAACTCATGTTGTCTTTTAATTTTTCACGCAGAAATAGCTCTTTCATTCTGCTTTTTATTTACAAACCCACAAATAAGTGTTATTTTTACCTTAAAAATATAAAAATCAAAAATAACTCTTATTTTTCAAAAAAAAATACAACTCACACTGGCCTGGCTGATATTGGTAGTTGTTTTTGTAATTTCATACAAAATGTATTATAGACATGGAGTTTATTTTTTATTCTATTGTATATAAATTGAGGGAGGCCAAGGTTCACACTGGACTATAGTGCCAAATAAAACGAAAAAGAAGAAATATATAAATTGTGAAGAGCTGAATTCAACCAAAATTTTTTTGATGGAGCGTTAAATTTGGGACTACATAGATTCTCTTACACACGTATTATTGGTGAATGTAAGTATATACGCGGTGTGATTAAAAACGAAACTTTAAATCTCACGTCCTATACCTTGTTTATGGGATCGAGTCTTTTTTTATGTTTTTGCTACATTGACAACGAATCAGGCAGCTGTTGCGATAATTATTTTATACTTTTGGGGATTTTACGACGTATGGCAAAATGTTGTGTGCGATTTGAACAGAATTTTCACTCAGAAATGTGTACAAATATAATGCAAATATTTCCATAAAGGTCGAGAAATCATTGAAGATGACGCGAGGTGTAAATATCCTAACAAGTCATCAATGCTGAGAACACGGAAAAAATTTAATAAAATCTGTTTGCTAATAGGAAAATTATCATAAGATCGTTTGCTAGAGAAATAGGATTTCTAAAATCTTTCGTTGGGAATACGCAAAGTGAGATCAAGTTCATATCTAAAAAGACGTTTCAACAGTGATTCTGACACATCTAATTCGACAGGGCTCACTTAAATCGGCAGCGAAGTAAAACAATATAACCAAAGACAAATCCTACAAATGTCGTCAATAGGTATACAACTGCTGCCCTCTTCACTATATTAAAATCATACTTGGTGACTTAAATGCCGTGGCCTTTGCCGCTACTACAAACATGGAAGTAACCAGTATTTAGAACAGAGCTGGTGTGGTATTTGACGAGCTTTGCTCTACAGATTTTATCGCTATAGCTGACCAGTTTTCACCAGTGTATAAGATACTATAGTTTAGCGTGGTTTTAAATGTAACTGTACAAGTTTATAAAATCCGTTCCCAAGGTGACTCCTGATTTTTCTTACTTAAGTTGTTCTCGTTTTCAATTAGTGAAAAGGAGTTTACATAATTTCATTTTGCGATTGGATATTGAGGCTTGGCAAAAGTCAAATATACTTTTTTTCATCTCTGTTATGTTTTCGATAAGAAATCGTAGTTCAGTTAGGAAAATTTAAATTTTATGCTCATAAGAAGTGACAAGAGTTATAATATAAAACTTTATTTCATTAAAATATAAACAATACATTTTTGTTTTATTGTAAAGAGCTTAATTGTTATTGTTTTGCATCTTAAAAAATAGTCTTAAAAAATAAATAAGATAATATATACTCAATAATTGAATTCTTATCAAATATTTAGGTGATCTTGAAATTCAAATAACGATCTTGTGAAAAATGTTTATTATTCAAAAAATATATTCAAGTTAGAAATCGGTTTCTGGACTTTGCGGACGTACTGTATCCAAATCTGTTTCAATCGGTGCTGTTTTGCTTGACGCTCCACTACTTGTTGCGTTTGTTGTTGTAGCAACTGCTGGAGTTGTGGGAGAAGTAGTTAAAGGTGTTATAGCAATATTAGGATCAGTATTTTTATTTTCAGGATTAAAGGACTTTAATGCGCCCAATTGTGCTCGTACATCCTGTGCTGATAAATGATGAAGTGGAACATCGGCACGTGCTGCCATTCTTTTAGGACTTGTGGTTCCATCATTCGGTTTATGTTTATCTGGTGGAAAAACTACTTGTGCGTAAGTAACGCCTGAATTTGGATCTATACTTTGTTCGCCAGAAGAAGTTGTAACTGAACTGGGATTCCGGAAAACTGTAATTTCTGGGCGCGGTGCTGCACGTGCAGGCAAAGATTTTCTACGTTGCATCGGTGAAATATTTGTACTGGTAGTGGCAGGGCTGCCACCAATTGCTGGAACAGCGATAGCAGCAGGAACAGCTGGTGAAGGGTCTTCACGTGGAACTGGCGAATATAAAGAAGGTGTGTAATTAACATCAGTTACTTTGCAGTTATAAAGATTAAGTCCTTTTGCAAAAATAAAAACAAGTACATCAAAGAATAAGCCTACAAATATTAATGACGCCGTAAGTATATTAAGTATGTTGCCATGCTTAGGCGTTTCACGCAGCACACAACGTTCATATTCTGGCGCCCAGTAAAGACAACTGGTGCCTAAAAAGAAAGTTACTAATCATAACAGCAATTCTAAAGAAAAAAATGTTGACTTACGAGTTACAACGTCATATGCAAGGTGTACTGGAATATATGCAAATAAACCAAATAACATTACTTCCATAGCTAGGGCTAACCCCTTATCCTGAGGCAATACACTCCTCAGACTTATTAAAATTTTTCCAATTGCTGTCATGCCATAAATGCTAGCGCCTAGTAAACTTAACACTTGAAAAACCACCAACATAGCGAAACATGTGTCAGCACTACATGAGCCCTCGGTTGCCCGTATATTTTGTGCGGTGTGCATATCGTAACCCTGTCCACAAGTGCAGCCTTCATAGAGCTGTAAATTACAACAATATTAATAAAATCAAATAAAATAGCATAAAAGTATTCTACTATACTACTATAGTTCTTAACAATTGCTGTTCTTACCTCAACATTATTTATATTTGATTTGATTGTACAACCCGCGTAACATGGTGAATAATAAGTAACAGTAGAGTTCTCAGGACATACTGGTAAAAATTGTGTCGGCTGACAAATGCATTGTCTTGAGCAATATGCCTGTTGCACCTTTCCGTTTGCCGTACCTCCAATTGGACCCACTTCACATTTGATGAATATAAAAGCAACATAAATACCCATCAATAGGGTGCCTAAAGTTATATTGATGCCCGAAATAGTTCTAAGAAGTTAATTCTTAATTTTGAATATTTTAAGAAATCTACATCACATCTCTCACCTGCCAGATAATTTTAATTTAGATATAACCAGTCCACCAATAAGCATACTAATCGCTGCTACTGGCGGCTTCAAAAAATATGAAACAAAATGCGCTCTCCATTCTTGTTCCAGGCCGTCTTCTTCACTAAAGGGCAAAAAGAAACGTGATTGCAGATATGCTTCCTCTTGAGACATGTAGTTTATAGTGGCCGCTTGTATAAACATAATGCTCAAAAGATTGAACATAAGCAATTTATTACCAAACAAACGCTTTATAGATGGCCCAAAATTTGTATCATCTATATATGTTGAAAATTGACTACCAAATTGTCGGTTTCGAGATTCTTCAATTATACGTTGTGCAGCTTGATGGATTACGGTTTTTGGCAAACGCCTCGGAAAGAGACTCAGCATCAATCCAGTGACAAATATAATAGGAGCCAGTATAGCCCAACCTAACCACCAACCAACTGATGTAGCACCTACACCCAGTATCAGTATAGAACCAACTTGTAAACCGAAAAGTTTTGCTCCAACTGTGGCAGCTATGACAGCAGGACTATCGATCGATAATGAATTGTCATCTATATATGTTATACCAATATTATAAAAGGCTAAAGATCCCAAGCCTATTGAAAGTTGTAGTACAAACAGTAATACAAGAGTAAGTGTAAAAGTTTGTTCTTCAGTAAGTGCTGATTTAGCCATTGGACGTATTAATGAAACTTTACACACCTCACTTCCAGTACTTTGAACAGCTGGCACAACTCCATCAGAGCTAAAGTTAGAAAAAAATAAGTTTGAATCATACGGAAATCTACATTGATTGTTTAGTTTATACTTACAAATTCATAATTGACGGTATGATAGCTACCAGACTGGTAACTCCTTGTATCATAATTACACCACCCATCCAACTTATTGGATGTAATTTATGCGCCCAGTATGCAAAAGCCAATGCAAACACAGCTTGAAATAAACCACTACTTACTAAAAGCCAATCTACAATAAAATATAAACAAAAGGTTTTATTAAAAATAAACCATGTTTTGAACCTCCAGCCAATATATCGCAAAGTTAACACCTAACAATCCAACAGCAAAACAAGCTAGTCTGTTTCAGATGATAATATCAAACCTATAGTTAAAGTTCTACTTAGACTTTCACTTAGGAAGATTTGAAAAAGAGTTTTATACTTGTTTTAGAATCTACAAAACTACGAAAACTACAAAACAGAATCATAAAACAGATATTGGATGGCCAATCCAATGTGAAAGTAAAACTGTTCGATATCGAATGCTTTGTTATTTATAAATTTTCCACAAAGAAAATATAATATTTCATCTTAGATTCATTGTATCCAAATTTTCATTAGTGTCATTGAGATATAATAGTTCGAAATATGTTCCTGAACAGCGTAAGAGCTGATGTGATTTTTGGCTATCTAACTTCACTGCCCACCTTTGCACCACCAACTGTAGCTACAACTCCACCAAGGAGCTACAGTTGAATATACGCGTAGAATATACTTATCACGTCGTTGGACCTTATGGAGTTTATTTTAGAGAACTTTTTTCCACATTTACTTTACGATTCTGTTAAGTTTGTCTTGCGTATCGATATGATGAACAGACAATAAGCAGACGCACCACTACAATAGAGATTTTTCAGCTAATCCGTGAACGTCAAACTTCTGAATTTGTTCTTTCATCAATAATGATAAAAAATAAAATGAATGAAACACAGAGTATTTATGGACTCTAGAATTCGAAGAGAGCTGCTCTGATAAATGTCAATTATGAAGTTCCAATCTTTAAATTGTGATGACAAATATTCGCAATCGGATAATATGCAAAAATTTATGAATAAATAAAAGATCGTTTGCTAACTAATATGCATAACGTATATAACTGCGGTTTAGTTAAATGGAGGACGGAATCTGAAAAGGTACAGATATTGGATTTATGCATCTATATCTATTGCACATTGATAATTAGATCATTGGATGTCTTTTTGAGATGCTTTCCACTCAGTATTCAGAGACACTAATAATTGCATTAAAAACAAAAGGCGTACCGTTCCAAAAGAGTGTTTTGACATCTTAGATAGAATCATATCTCCTCTAAACGATTTTCTTTCTTAAGATCGGGTGTTGTTTGCTGATGTTTCCATTTGAAGAGGCTATAATAATTATATGATATAAATATCGTCCACTGGTTACTGGTTGCGACATCTAAAAGTGACCATGGGTTTGTTTTTTGGTTGTATGTAAAGTGACAACTTATTTTGAATAGTTCTTTGTTTTGAAGTTATTGGGTCGAAGTTTCTACCTTATATGTAAGAACGTCGATCCTGTTCCTTTTGTTTATTTTGCAGAATATTTTAATAAGTTTTTTGAGTTCGTTTAAAGTATTAGTGTAGTCTATGACATCACTTCAAATTTTTAAGCATCTTTTCAATTCTCCTACTTCCCTCAATTTTCTTATAGCTGTTGCATGTCATCTACTCCACTTGGTTAAGATAATGACAATAACATTCTGAATACTGTTAGTGTCATAAAACTGGGAATAATTGTGCTTTGGTGTAACTGTCAAGATTAGGTTAATTACAAATTTTTGCGAATATGACGTTCACAAATGCATTATGTATTATTATCAAATCAAGTTTCTTAGGATTAAGACTTTAAATATTCGATTTTTTGATGGTAACACAAATATCCTCACACACGCTAGGCAATGACGCTAGGTCTTGATTAGGTACGATATATCCATATCCGTACGATTGCATCATTAAATTTTTATTACTATTCTTTTCTCTTTTTTAGTACTGTGAGTAAGCACTTCGGTGATACTCATTGTAGTATACTAGGTGGATTGATAAGTATCTGCATTCACAACAGGTGGCAACGTCAGAACAAAGTCAATCATATTTTGTATATCTGGTAAGTTTGGTTAGCTTTTTACAAATAATTGAAATAATACACCATCCAGATACCGACAGGTATGTAAGGATATTTTTCACATCAGGCCTAATTACTTTAGTAAATTATTTTTAAAAACCGTGGTTGAAGTGATTATTTTTTTTTATTAATACTTAACTTTTGCCAACTTCTTCCTTATATTTGAAAACCATTTTTAAAAACTCATAACAGAATTGAATTGTCCATTCAAAGTGACTCATATAGCTATTATTATAACACTATTTCATTGATTAATATTCTTGTTTCTAATAAAGTAAAAAATATAAGTGTGCAATAATACTTCTAAATATTACATTAATTACGATAATAAAATAAAGGTGTAGATAATATGATGAAATAATGTAAGAAGATAATAGAATCTTCACTTTATAGTATGCAATAATACAAGCCGTAAATAAGTCAGATTTGAAAGAGTTTGTTGACAGCTTTATTTAGATCGAAAAAAAGATTTCCCAGCAATATGTATAATGTATATATGCATGGAAAAATATCTGCAAAATTTTGAAATTTATATCAATGATTTTGGTGATAGTTCTTTGGTATCTGATATTACGCATACCTTAACAACCTCGATGACTCTTGTCGAAGCAGATAACATAAAAATGTAGTAAATCTATGTACAATCCGAGTATACATATATACTAGCAAATATAGATATCAACGAAAATTACAACAACACAAGCAATAACAAGAATTGAGAATGTTACTAATCGTATCAGAAAATTGTAGCTGATAAACGAAATTTATACTACGAGTTTGTGATATCATAACTATTGTGGTACGAATCTGAGCAATGTAAAAATTAACTTTTTTAAAGTGGGAACGAAAGCGTAAACAAATAAAAATGAAAATATAATTCTAAAATATCGCTTGAACCACTCCCCCCACATGTATGACTTATTCTCTAATAAAGGTAAGAACAATATACAATATGTCAAATTACGTTTTGAGAAAACCAATGTCATACTGCAACGCCTCACTTACCTACTACAATTGGGTCATAATCATTTTCTAATGCAGCCTGCTTAGCCGATATCCGGAAATATGTTTCACAGGCACCTTGTGTGATGCCAGCACAGGCGAGTATAATAACGAAAGTACGTAAGCGTGCATATTTCTGACAACCCGGACCACGACACCAACCCAATAAACGTATACCACAATCGACGCTATCTGAAATTTAAACACAGACACTTTAATTAGTTTCGGATACTACGCCCACCAACGAAATATTGAAACTCTACTCACCATCCGGGATGTTATGAGCATTCACAGCTATTTGTGATAAATCCGAACCACGATCCGCGGGCGCCATTGATCTATATTTTTCTAATTTTTTTTATTTATATTCAATTATTTGATCGTTTTTGCTAATTTGCTAATTTTTCTAAACACAATTCAAATGAAGTGCAATTTTCTTTTAAACTCAACACCTTCGCTTCACTTTTGTTTCATTGCAAAACATTTTAAATTAATTTTTTGTACTCTTTTGAATAAATAACAGTAGAATTTCCTCTGTTCGCAACCTCTGTTCAGGCTAATATACTCGTTATACGCCAGTGAGTGACTAATACTGAAACGCAGGTGTAATTGCTTGCCCGTCTTGTGTTTTACTCCAATTCCAGCAACATATTTCCTTGCTTTCGCCGACAGCGTTTTTTTTTCATTTTGTTGTAGATAAGCTAAAATTTTATCAGTGCTGATAATAAAATTAAAAAAGTACAACGAAAATTGCTTCAATATGTAGACTCACCGATCTTCTATAATAAATTCTATTGTACTCGTTAAAAGTCCGCAACAAGTGCCATTTCAGTTTGTTGATACGATAGTGTCAACATGTTGCAGGCAACATGTTGCTAGCTTAAGCTCCGCAACTGCTGCAACAAGTTCACATAAAATTTTTTTTTTCCACTGAATGTGCTATTTGTATTAACAGATAACCAATATACATAAATAACAATTCGTTGTGAACACATATGCACGGTATTTAATTTAAAAATGCTCTCATGCCGGAAGATGATTTCTTAATTCTGGCAACAAAAAAACTCGTATTAATCGTGGATCAATTTTCAATATTTACTGCATATATGGTAAATATGTTTGTACTTAGGGTGTTCTCAAAATGTTGTGCCTGGCCATAAAGCAGATTTTGAAAATTTTAGCTGTTTTAAATCTCAAATAAATTTATAATAATTTTTTTTTTCATCGGTCGACGCAAATATTTGCGAAAATAGAAAGGCACCCGCATATCGTTGCGATAGAATTGTGGTAAAAAATAATATAGTATATAGTATATATATAATTTATATAATTTATATAATTTATATAATTTGTATCTTGAGTATTTAAAAACATTAACTTCTGCCGCAAAGTTCTGGGAACTTTGCTTCATCATACGCAACAGTGAAAACACTGAAAATCTATCAGCCTCGTTAGGAAATCCCTTCTGGAGAACCATGAATTGCACTTATTGATTCAAACGCAGAAAATGTTAATCAAATGGTGTTTATTGAATGTGGAATATAAATTAGAAAGCTTATAAAACTTACAAAACATTGTAAAAAGGTTTCTTTCCTTTCCGCACAAATCAAAATTCTTGAAAAAAAAAACACAAAAAACGGTAAGGATCTGGTAACTTGGATTTTACGTTTAAGTTATACAAACTTTTATATGGAAAATACTATACACAGAGACTTAAGAGTCTGAGAGTGTGCAAAACCACATCAAATACAGAGTATTCACTTATTCAGAATTGTACTCTGTTAAATCAACTGCAATAGTACATATTCCTTCAGGACACTATACTTCACCTGAATATAAATTCACCTGAATAATATATTATCAGAATTGAAAGGAGCTCTTGTTACAGTGGATCACACAAATGGTCGTAGATACTATTGAGTAAAAGTGCTTTAAACACTAACTTGTGGTTTATGAAACAAAGAAGAAGAAGAAGTAATATAGAATCGATACCGGAAGCGTTTATTTGATCAAAGAAATGTCAGAATATATCCTGCAACATACTTGGCTAATGTCTAATGGATAAATTTAGCGGCTGCTTCGCTGCACACAATAAAAGGAAAACTATTTTGCTTTCAGAATAATAATGTATTAATATATGAAAAGTGACTGAAAAAATGTATGAATATTTTTACATAAAAATGTTCTTCGGCAAAATAACTAAACATTTTTTAAAACAAAAAAAAAAAATTATGCATATTCGAATGGCAAAGAAAAAACAAAGACAAAATTTTATTTAATTTAACGCTGTTTCGAGTATTACCAAGTACTCATTATTAGTGGTCTTAGGAAATAATCGAATTTCTTTTTAATTAGTTTATATGGTAGTTGTGGTGGAGGGAGGAACGAGTCCTCCTCAATTAGCTAGTAAAGCCTTTTTGAATCCACAAAACCTCGTAATAGTGGGTAGTAGAGAGAAGGTCAAGCTACAACCAACCAGAGGCATTTATAAAGGCAAGAATGCTGATGCTAGAGATATCGCCGAGTGTGTTGAAAAAGGGAGCCCCCAGAAACATAAGGCTAGTTCAGACCAAACTTGGACAAAGACACATCAGGTGTACTGGTGTTCTGTTTCCGAGAACTGGTAGACACGCATTTAAAATATGTAATGCGACTTCTATTGTATTAAAGTAAAGGAAATAATTGCTTTATGAAAGTTAAATGATATTCGAAACTTATAGATAGAAGTTTTAATTTAGATATTATAAATCATACATCAAATCACATTTGTTGCTATCGAAAGTTTAATAGTTCATTACAAGACAAGGTGATCACGCTCCACGATTATCGTATCATGCTTGACCTATTGAGTGGTGGAGAAACTTGAACAATAACTAATAGTGTTGAGAAAGCATTAACAGCAATCGACTGGAAAACTCTTTACAATATTCATGATTCTATACGCATAAATAACAAGTATCAAATTATATGAAACGGGCAGCTATATAAGCAGCGGTTTTGATAATTTGACTTTTGATAACTCTGACTAGACAAGTGTTTGATTTGGTACTTGCTTCTGGAAAATGTGTTAGAAGAGATCCGAATTTTCGGTAGAAGGATCGGTTGACCAACGATATGAAGAAACTCGATACTACCAACTGGTGACAGGAAGCCACTGATCCGGTCGACTGGGGATGTTACTGGATATGACCAATGACGACTTACGTCTGCCAAATAAGTAATTAATTTAGGTTGAGGAGTCATAATTTAAGGTTTCAACAGAACGTACATTTAAATATATATTACCTAGAGTCACGGAAAATATTAATATTATACTTGTACCATGTTATGGACCCACTGTTGTGCTGTTTGTAGTAGAACTTCTCACTTTCCTTTTTCTCTTCTCTTCTTTTCAGTAAAGTTTCGTATTAGTCGACAGCATTCTAAAATTATATAATCTTGAAATTGAAAATTCGTAGGACAGTGACATAACAGATGACAACAGTTGGAGTTGTCACATTTAACCACTTTGCTTGAATTTCTTCTCCATAATTAATTAAATCGTTTTTTATTCGAAGTGGACTACATTAAGTAACCATTCTGGGGACTTCAAATATATATCTTCCTTTAAATAAAGAATATTTATTAGCAGCTAGTTTCGCTAATATATTAGTAGCCTTGTTTCCCAGAATTTCCCCCGTATTCTGGGATTTGTCCTGGTACCAACTGTTAATTTTATTTTACATCACATTTGCTATTACCCATAGATCAAATTAAGTTGAATTACTCTAATTCCTAACAATTTTAATAATTATATTTAAATAATAGCTGTTTTTGGCATGTATACACGAATATGTTATATACAATGTGTGCTATTGATAAATAGTGAAATGCTATATACGCTATATACATACTTATGTGCGAGTAACATTAGTTTATATTTTACTGCTAACTTAGAATACTGAAGAGAACCTTTAAGCGTAGTTTGTCTGTCCATTGGTTTGGCTGGTATAAGACCATATATCTTTCACAGGAACAATTTCGGACCTATCGAAGTGTAATGCTCGATATACTCAATTCATGGTTTTTCAATAACCCAAGTAAACTTAGTAAGCTACAAAACTACATACAAATTTATATTTCGTAAACTGTCAAAAAAGTTGAAAGTTTTTATATTTTGCTATAAGCAAATGTTTCTGATAAGAAAAATCCTCCAAAAAGCTCTAAATTCAATTCTGAAGTTGTGAGATTTTAAATTGTGTCGGACATCACGGCTGATATTTCACGAACTCATATAATGGTCCCACCATTATATGTACTTGAAAGGCTACTGTTGTTAATGACATTTTACGTCAAAATAAGAGCTTCTTATTACAGTCCGGTATACGTGTGGGGTGCTCATTGGTTTGAAAATTTTACATTTGGGATTGACATTTCATAACCTCTTTTATTTTAAGCACGGAGATACCCTCATTGACAGTAACTGAATCTTACTATTTCGGAACAAAAATGACACCACTGCTTAAGAACCACTGCATAGTAGCCTTTGTGGAAAAAAATGTAAACATAATATTATTCAAGAAAACTCTAATATATTATTTTAGTGTTTTGTATTAGCTAACTCAGAACGACTTTCTTTGTACTCAAGCAGTTACAAGGCAGCCATGTTTTCAACATATGAAACAATACACTCCAGCGACCTATATTAATTTAGTCGAGGATCCGATCCAAGCGCTGCGGACGATATCACAACAGAAACTGAATATTTGGATTAACAATACGGGACAGAAAACATATCCGATTGACTGCACTCCTGGCATAATTAATTTTATATATTTTAATGATACCGTCCGAATGGAACGAAATCAGAGGCTTATTCATCATGGTGACTGATTTATAATATATATAAAATGGGTGACCCATTTCATATAAGTTTATATATAAAATAGATTGGTTGAACTGGCTTAATATAGATCCTTAGTTGCATTGATCCTTAGCTACCTATTAGAAATGTTATTTGAGAGAATCTAAATTACTTAATTTTCTTAGGTGATTGCAATCGATAAGCAGAGTATTTATGGTGTATAGTATAGTATAGTATAGTATAGTATAGTATAGTATAGTATAGTATAGTATAGTATAGTATAGTATAGTATAGTATAGATATTAGTATAGTATAGTAATAGTATATATAGTATAGTATAGTATAGTATAGTATAGTATAGTATAGTAGTATAGTATAGTATAGCGTATAGTATAGTTAGTATAGTATAGTATAGTATAGTATAGTATAGTATAGTATAGTATAGTATAGTATAGTATAGTATAGTACAGTATAGTATAGTATAGTATAGTATAGTATAGTACAGTATAGTATAGTACAGTATAGTATAGTACAGTATAGTATAGTACAGTATAGTATAGTACAGTATAGTATAGTATAGTATAGTATAGTATAGTATAGTATAGTATAGTATAGTATAGTTAGTATAGTATAGTACAGTATAGTATAGTATAGTATAGTATAGTATAGTATAGTATAGTATAGTATAGTATAGTATAGTATAGTATAGTATAGTATAGTATAGTACAGTATAGTATATAGTATAATATAGTAATAGTATAGTATAGTATAGTATAGTATAGTATAGTATAGTATAGTATAGTATAGTATAGTATAGTATAGTATAGTATAGTATAGTATAGTATATGATAGGGATTCCACTGCTGCTAACGATTTTCGTTATTAATTTAATATTTTATTACAGGCATAATTTTAGAAAATAGTTGCAACAATATGGATATAGCAATGTTTATATATTTGTTTATGTCCCCAGTTCATGAAATTCCATTACCCTGAAATGCAGTATGTTTCATTCACCGTATATCTCAAATAGTGTCCTGTTATATATTTACATATAAAAACAGAGGGCATCTCAATCAAATTACACAACATATAATTATATGCAACATATAATTCTTTAATCTGAAAACGAAAAAGATCGTATCAGAGAAAATTTCAAAATTGCCAAGTAGAGGGTGTTAATGAAAGATCAACTTGAAAAATCCAATTTTTTTGTACATCACATATTCTTTAATTTTATTTACTGATAATTCTACTTTAATGGATTTGGATTTTCGTTATTTTTTCAGAAAACCTTAGTTATCTCAGAATGTTTAAGAATGCTGTATTTTATCTACCATATATCGTATTCCCACAATCGCCTTCTAAAGTAAGCTACTTACTGTTTTTTTCAACGAGTACGCACTAATTTATTTATTTTAATACTCATAGGTCTAATAATGCCATTAGTCTATAAACACAAATGATGCTCCCAATCAGTAGCTGATGGGTCGCTTTTGGATCTTCTTTACTCCAATTGTGACAAACTTCTTATGAGCAAATCTATTGATACAAAAATGAAACTCATAGTGCGGCATTTTGTTAACAACTTATGAACGCTGCTCGGACTTAAATCGTTGTGTAACTATATGCTAAACACTTAAACACACTTACTAAATAACAAAATGGTGATACATTTTGTTTAAAATATAAAAAATATCCAGAAATTATAAATTTAAACGTGTAATAAAAAGCTCGCCACAGTTTTTTTTTAGTAAGTTCGCAGCACTGTACCAAAAACATAGAAATATTTCAATGTTTTTGATTTACAGCATCGGTTTTGCTTTCATCACAAAATATATAAAATATTGAAAGGAAATGTTAGGATATATTAGCATATATTGAAGGAAAGAGTAGCACCATGCAAGTTGGCAGCACTGTACCAAAAACATAGAAATATTTTAATGTTTTTGGCTTACAGCATCGCTTTTGCTTTCAACATAAAATATATGAAATATTGAAAGGAAATGTTAAGATATATTAGCATATATTAAAGGAAAGAATAGTAAGTTGGCAGCACTGTACCAAAAACATAGAAATATTTCAAAGTTTTTGGCTTACAGCATCGTTTTTGCTTTCAACATAAAATATAAAAAATATTGCAAGGAAATGTTGAGATATATTAGCATATATTAAAGAAAAGAATAGCACTATAACATCCTAATAGAAAAGGCAGAGAAAGCTTAATAAAAATTATTTCCCATACTTCAAATACTGATCACGTGAAGTGAATTAAATGAAAAAATTGAAAGATATTGGTCTAGTCCAGCGAAGACGAACCTTTTTATAATCGCGTACTAAATATTAGAAAATATTTGTTGAACTTGTGGCGATCCCAGGCCCTGATGACAAAAACAAAAAATTTTTTTTAAAGCAAAAACGGTCTTTACACTATTGACCGTGCCATAAGACTATATACGCTATAGTAAAAACGATAATGTGCATGCTATAAAACTTTTCATATATATCACTGGTGACATGCGTGTTAAAGGTTCGCCATCGCTAGTCTATTTGAGCGTGAGCTTATTTATTCCACAATTACTTTTTAAATATTACAAAAACTATAATATTTCAGTGCATACACATTTCAAGATAAATATATATTTTTTTTTTCTACAGATAAAATAATTGCGAGTATAAATTGCGATATGAAATATGAAAATAAATCTGCTGTGTATATCTATATGTCAAAAGAAAACCCGGAACATATCAAGTTAATAGATACTATTCATAAACGTGAACGTCGCAATGCGAGTGAAAGTGATAGTTCTGCTCCAACTGATAGCTCTGCTCCAACTGATAGTTCTGCTCCAACTGATAGTTCTGCTCCAACTGATAGTTCTGCTCCAACTGATAGTTCTGCTCCAACTGATAGTTCTAATAATAGTTCTAACAATAATTTTTTTTTTGCCTCGAAAGAATTTGTATTGGAGTTTACTAAATTGGAATTGAAGTATAATAACAATAGTGCGAAGAACTTAAGTATCTCCAATATGGATTGCACCACTTCTAACATCTTATTATTAGTAACGCTGACAACATCCAATTCATCAAAAATAATATTTAATATATCGCTTATTCAGAACTATAATATCGTAAGTAGCATAGAGTACAACAAATGCAAGATACATCCATTCCTATTTGAAATACCCAGCCAATTCTCGTATCTTTGCAAGTCGTTGGAAGTTAAATGTAAAGATTTTGTGATAACGTTCGACAGTGTGCAATTTGAGGTTCTGTATAGATTAAAAAATCCTCCGACCAAAAAACCTGAATCCAGAGAAAAATTTCATTTCAAGCCGCCATGGAACTGCGTTGGATTCGTGACGCCGGCGATTGCATCCGGAATTTTCGTGATCATTTTCATAGTATCAATTACTCTGTGTGGAATCAATTGGATAGCTAACATAAGCGGATGTGACCTCTATGACGACCCTACGAAGCCAACAATAACAATACCACTAACCGCGCATTGACATCATTTAGTGTATATGATATCATATACATATACACGGATTTAAGTATGCTGGAATTGTTGAAAAACTAAATTCTGTAATTAACCTGTGTCCATTAAACAAATAAAAATAAGTGATATATATTTTGTTGTAATAAAATTTGTTTAGCATGCAATCGAGTGTGCAACTAATATAAAAGGTATACATACATCACTACTGTTATTGCATTATATATTGTTTAACGATTTCATCCATTACGCTGAACTCTTAATATTTGTCGAAAAACAAAACTTTTAATTAACTTTCGGTTTACTCATAGAGCAACTGATCTATATGGTGATGATACCTAAGTTTTTTTCTATGTATCAGAATATACTCATATATATAAAGAGAAATACAAACCGACTTTAACTTTGCCGAAACATCAATTCACTTTTCATAGATAAATCTATTAAAAATCAATTATTTACTATTTATTTTCTAGGTTTTTTTCAAAATTTCAACCCAAAAACTGTGTCAACACATGGCAGATTTATTCAAAAATTTAACTGAAAATTCCATATATACGCAATATGTAAGATCCTATGAAAGACCATTCCAATTAAGTGAAAATAATACTCATATATTCGACGACAGGAAACTTATCTCATTTGACGCAATATCCTTTTTCCCAGCAGACCAATAGACTAGGCTGCAGGTGTTTCTCAAGAAAGGTGTTACTGTTCAATTGCCATTGAAATGAAAAAAAGAAACTTTCATGGAGATGTCAGAAGGAGAAGGTGTTATATTCTCAAACAAAGGGAAGATCAGCTAAATATTTTAATAGAAAGTATTTCAGGCCAAATAATGAGAAAGGCAAGAAAAACTCTTATCTACTCGAAAAATTCACGAAAGGTGAAGAAGTAGAGGACATATTGACTTATTTTATCACAAAAGTGTTAAGACACAACATTGAATTTAAGTTAAATTACTATTAGAAACAAACGAATTCTGGACAATAAAGATTGTGTTAAATTTATTCATATGAGTGTTTAATATTACCGATTCAATTGTCCATGATGAAAATGTGAAGGTTTTTATTGATAAAATAACCAACATCCATTCCCAGATCAAAATTAATAATCTTTGCTAAAAAAACGAAAACCACCAAATCGGACAGTTTGCAGAATATATATATGCCAAGGACTTACCAAGGAAAATCAAAATGCTATAACATAACACTTCAGAAAATATCATTCAAATCAATATTACTTTACTTTGCATAAGAAAAAGACTAATAGACGAGATGGATGAATATAATTTGGTATATAAAATCCCCTGTGGAAGTGATGCAAACAACGTATTCCAATAGGTATATTATGTTGGTGTACTAATAACCAATGAGCTGTGAACAAGAAACGCTGGAAACAAACATGCTCTGAAGAGTCGTCCTGCCACACCTGTTAACCAAAGCACGGCGAGGTGATCAACAATTCTACTACAAAAAGGCTTGGTACAAATTTAAAGGTCACCGGTTCAAAATTAATTGTTAAACTTATATTAAGATTATTTAAAAGAAACTCTTCAATTTGACTAAGGACAACACTAATAGCCATTTAATATTTTTGTAAACAGTACAATATACTATATACTCTTATGTTTTCTTTAACTGTTAACTATAAATATCAACCATCTTCCCTAAGATGGTCTATAGAGTAAACCGAAATATCTGTAAATAAATAAAAACGAATTTAATTTTGTTTCAATTTTAAAGCTAAAACAAATGTTTTATTTTCTCTTATATAACATAAATTCTAAAAAAAATCCTTAAACCCGAAAATAAAATAACACAAACGATTGTGGTAGATACCAACATTTCTAAAAATATTTAAACACATTTTTTTTAATTACCGTATCTAACGCAGCAGATGCAAAATATTAAATAAGTTAATTCGAGTCTAGCAATCAGATAGACTCAGATCAGAACTGATCCTTGAAGATAATTTTGTTACATTTCACTTTATCACTAACATGTGTTGCCCTGTTAAAATCACGTATCTTCCCCACTCATATCTTCAATTTCAGACTTAAAAATCAATACTCGGGTAGATGTTATGGTCAGAATTAACAATTTGTTTCACATATTCGTCATTAACAGAAATTACGTTCGCAACATCTCAGTAGGTAATTATACAATTTTCTACAGAAATCTCGAGTTACAGAGAAGTTCTCCAGTACCCCACTGGATTAGAAGGCGTTGATAACACCAGTATAGGAATTCAGATACATAGGGACTAAGATTTCACAAATTTGATTTTAATATATAAAACCACGAGTCATGTCCATCCCGTGCAAAGCAAATTCACAATCATCAACCTTATTAACGTTAACTGGCCTACGAATGACTCCCTTCAATACGAAGAGGAAGCATATAATGAACTACTCGAGCGAACTTGCTGATACAACTATTAATATTGCTACTCGGAGGCAACTATTGCTCATTAAGATGTTCTTCAATATTCGAGTTACACCAAGTAAGATCTTTATTAAGGCTTTCGATCTGCCAGATGTAGTAGGAGATATCCCAAAAGCCCATTTTCATTATCTTTGCAAGGTTAGTTAAGAAATTATCTTCATATACGTCTGCATAAAATCCTAGTGACTTCACTATTAGCACAAAAGTCATTTGATACGATGAATTTTTACTAATTCATAGTAAACACATTTATATCGATTTATACCGAGTTGTTGGCCTCATCATATATATTTCAAAAACTCTTCTGGACATCTCGACTGCTCCCTTGTTCCGTTCAATATTCCGATGTCCACTATATCAATAGATAGATATTGCGATGTTCAATGTTGATCAATGTGTCTTGACTCAATTTCATCTTTTTGGGTTCGATTGCTGTCATCGTTGTATAATTGCTTCAAAAAATAATTGTATTTGAAGAGCGAATTAATTTGAATTAGCTTTGCTGCCTTTTCGATTGTGAATATATTAGATGGATGAAAATACAGCAGAAAGTCAAGTAATAAGACCGAATATAAGCATGAAGACGTTAAGTATTTTTATAAAAATTAGTCACAGAAAAAATTATCTACTATTAGATATACCCGGAAAAGCTGTACGTTTATTTGAATCTATCAAATAAATATGTGTGTGCGATTGATCTTGAAATTAAACTCAACAAAAAGTTACTTAGAATGAGATAGAATAAAAACTAAATAGAAAATGCGAATGTCTACTTTTATAAGATCCTATTAAAAATTGTGAAATTGTGAAATTGTGAACGAGTTTCAGCTCTAACAATCAAGAAAACCGTTACATGTTCTCCCTTCTCGTGCCGTCACTGTCATTCTTCAATGGAAAAAACGATGCGCAAATTACAGTACAAAATAGATTATTTAGAAAATTGCATGAAAGATGTTGAAAAGCCCACAAATCAGATTTGTTATAATTTGATATGATTTGATATGATTTGATATGATTTGATTAGCATTGATATTTAAATGTTTACATGAGCGCTTTAGGCGTTGCTTTTCAAAATTTCTTCAGTTGCAGTGTCAACGAGTAAACACGTTTACGTGTATATGGAAATATACTGACGATGGGGTCATTACGGCTGCATTTTTCGAACACACAGTCTCTATTTAATCACCGAAAGCTTTATTAACTATTTACAACTACAAAACACTATAACTTTTAATAAAAGTCATAAAGAAGTCATTGTCACAGCATTGCGGACTTATCAGCATTGGTTTATAGCCACAGTAATTATTTAATAAGTCGACTAGACGACTGACTGCTAATCGCTCGGTTAGCTCGGAAGACATGGTGTGGTACACGCTATTCAAATTTTGAATGCTCTTCCCAATTAACTTAGTAAATTTTAATTATTTGAGTAGAATATTGCCTTGTAGCGTTAGAATTCGTTGTGTATTATCTACAATTATGCGAATATCTCCCTCTTCAACATCAATCGATATATGCGAAGCAACATCACTATCTATACGATCACAACGCATTTAAACGCATGTGCTCAGAAAACCATTAAGTTCGGATAAATTTAAGCTGATAAATACAAGTAAATACAATACTTTTTTTGTATTGGTTACACCGATATTTTGCTTGTGTTTTCCCAACGTATGAGCGAGACGTACATAACACTGCATCTATACTGTGGCTACACTAGCTAGACTTTGGCAAGATGTTTAAAGATGCCGAGTTAGGGGTTTAGTATGCTTGGTGATTTTTGTGGGACCAAAGAGTTCTTGTCGAAATTTGATGTCAAATACGGATTTAAGAGGATCACTCCATTTAGAACGATAAATAAGGCCTTGGCAATCATACAAATACAATCAAATTTGGAATTTTTAAAAGGGCTAGTATCACATAATCATAGCTAAACAATTGCCTAACAATGTCGTTGATAAACCAGACTTGCTCAATCGCGATAAAACTGGTTTTTAAGCATGGTGACATCTAAATGAACACTCAATCGTCTTTATGAAAGTATCCTCAAAATTTAGCTCCACTGAAAGTAGATCTAGTTTAGAATGCAAAACTGTTGAGAATCATTTTTCTTTAATTGAGAACAAAAGTTTGTAATACTCTTACCGACAGGTTGTCAATAAAGAGAACGCAGCTTGTGAGAGTCAATTCGGCAAAAACGCACTGAATTTTGGAAAAACAACTCCGATTGAACGTCTTCATTCTCTTAATTATATGGATTAATAATATGTACTATATAATATGTTCTATTCTATATATATAATATATGAGATATTCATTTTGTGGTTTTAAAAGTAAATGTGAATAAAGTTTAATAAACTTATAATTTGGATCAAATTTTTATTTTAATTTTATATATTTATTATAATTTTATTTATTTACTTAGTTATTGCTTGGTTACTATCATTAGGTGTAAAATATATTGTCATTCAAATTTTCTACACGGGACGTCTTTTAGTACTGCTTTCCTTTGTGGTTACTTGCGATAACTTGTCGGCACGTCGAAGTAATATCTCAACCAGAACTTGTTTATCAGTGCTGTAATGAGCAGAACTGGAAGCTTGTAACATCTGCATCATACCCTAAAAAGTATAGGTTTATCATATCATATATGAAATGGTACATCATTATATAGCCACTGTCTTAGATGTGACAATTTAGTTTGTTGAGATATCCACGCAGCGAAAATGAATCTCATTACTTAACAAAATTCGATTTACTTATACAACAGTTCGTGTTGGAACGGAATATTACTATAATGTTGCAAGCACCTTTAACTTCAAATATCTGATACTCTGTAACTTTCTTATTTCCCAAACTCAAATAATCACTTAAATGATAATCTTTTAATAATATATGAGATAAAGTTCAAAGACCATATTTAGGAATATTGCTACACATATTCCTATATTGCTACACAGTGGTATAACTGCATAATATCAAAAGAAGTCGACAATGAAGGGAGTGAAACAAACGTTGGTAATAGAGTAAATACTTTGTATCCTATTCACACTTTGTATCCTATTCAGTGAAAGAACCTTTTCTGAATATCTGCCTGTAAATAATTGGATCAGAAGGACTGACGGAATTATAATGAAGTTTTATCTGCAAGGCAATTTACAAGGTAAACAAATTAACCTCAGTGAACTTTCTAAGATCCAACGTTTAGTGGCTTCTCAAACCTTTTCATGGCACAAAATATTAAGAGCTAAAAGCATGGTAATTTTCTTCTCTCTCTCTCTCTAGAGCCTTTCTCTTTGTTTTTTCCTATTCGTAGTATCAGTGCAGTTACAAATACCATATACAACTACATGCAAATACATTTACTATTATTTTCAGATCACAGTCAAAGTTGTTTAACTAAAAAAAGTTTATGTATTAATTCTAATTGAGGAAAAGTAAGCCCTACAAAAAAAAATGTATGTAAAGGTACAGAGATACATTAAATTATGGAAAGTAATACATTTCCCTTTTCTACGTCCTTAATAGTTCTTATACTATTTATTATTAACATTATTATATAATTAATTATATATTAAAAAAGTTTCAAAACATGTATATGTGTAACGAACATTTCCTTTACCTCTCCACGTCCTCACTCTCCCTTGCCCCCATCTGGCAATGTACCTGACTATCGGATAATCAAAAATTTACACTAAATTTACTTTTTATACGGAAAATTTTTGTACTGATACAATTATAACGATTCTTAGATTTGATAAATATATGTTCAAACTTCCGTCTCTCGTTCCATTTCGCTATCTCTCTGTCTTGCTGTCTCTCTTTCGCTGTCTCTCTTTTGCTTTCTCTTTATTTATTTCATATCATATATTCAGTTTCATGAAATGTTTTTGAGAAATTTGCGGCTACCATAAATATTTCGTACTTTTATTGTTGCCTGATATCGATATGGCCGATAAAGTTTGATAACGCCGAGTCCATTCTTAACCTTGTTCACTACTAAAGCGCCGATAATGTCGGCGGCCGAATTATCTTTAAATGTGTGTGGGCGTTGAAATTAGTGTGCGTTTTTTGATATGTATGTGAAATGGACTTAATCGGTCTGTCATAGTCGCTACTACTAACCGCCGAACTAGTGCTACTTGGTTAGGCAGCTAAGCGGTTACAACGAGTGGTGTTCAATTGAAAATTCAATTTAATTTCATTAAAATTTCGGTCGATGGATATTTTTCCGCGTTGATTATTAAAACGACTTCATTTGTGTATTTCGAATAACATTATTTTGGCACATCAGTGCTGACAAAAACAACAAAACAAATAATTATTTTACATAAAATTTTTATACAAAAGCAAACCATTTACTATATTGAATTGTGAGTTTTCCTGATATTTAATAATTAAATTTTTATATATACATATACTTTTATAAAAACTGTAACTTGGATTTCTCCGTCTGCTTCTTTTATTATTTCTCGCCGATAAGATTTCTTTAGTGTGATAAATGTCTTATGTATTAAAAATTCTAAAATTTTAGGCGGTTTTGTTATTGTTTTATTTATAAATAAATATTTAAACAAATAAATAATAAGAAAGAGAAATTTAGGTATTTAGGGAGGTTTGAAGTTAAAATTCGACAAATAAAACCTCAAATATATTCATTATATTCTCTGGAATGTTACCTGGAATACAACCTCTTGGTATTTCTTTAAAATTATTGTACCGAACAAGGCTTTAGCGTCTTCAATGAAGTGTTATCCAAACGTGTCTAGATATATTTATATAAGTTGGCAACAATTTTTTGAATTTTAAAATCAATTCCGTTCATTTACACAGATATATTCATTTTTTGATTCCAAAAGTAAACGCAAATAACAAATTTCTGATTCAGATTTTTATCAAATTTCTATTCCAATATATTGTTTCGACCATATAACTAGATTTGAAATCAAACAGCTTAAGTTTCAACTAACAACTGCTCCACTAACTAAGTAGGGCAGTTGGGATATCCTAAGCACTCGAACCATTTAAGATAATTATCAATGACTGCAGCCAAGTTATTGCCTTGATTGGCTTCAAAACATCTGATCAGACAAAACGGTGCATTGAATTCTCCACTCGATCCTTAGTGATTTCCTCTATTAGCTGCTATTCATGCAACCGTTTTAGCATTGCAAATTTCTTGCAGCCCTACCAAAGAAAGTTAATCAACTAACAGACCGTACACAGTGCTCACATAACAATACTTACAGTGACTTTAGTACTTGATAATATACTACTAGTTACAGAGGGTTTTTGCTTGCCAGCATTCCATATTTTTTTTAATATTTTCGAATGAAACAGTTAACACAGCAACTACTATCAAATTAATAAAAATTAATTAAAATAACCTAGTAATTAAATTCTTTTTTGAGTTTATCGCAACTGAAGCTTGAGTTATCTTATTGACTTCAGCATCTTCATTTTTCACCTTTGTCTCTCATTTTTCACCTTTGCAGCTACTAACCACTTTACTGTCTCATTATCTGTTTATCGATATGTCCTTTAGGAGAAGCTTTCTTCACATTAATCGAAACAGTTATACGTGTCCTAACAACTGCTTAGGATCCCGTGTGCGGTTGAATGGTTTTATAATCTCCATATTAGTTAATACCATCATACTGACTTCTAAGCTGACTCTAAGCAGTCCTAGCACCATCCGAAGGAGTACTGCAAACTGTCAGGATCAGTTTCCACACTTGTGTCGCCTCGAATTCTTATAAACTCACTTCGCCTTTAAAAAGCACTTAACAAATGGACAAACTACCGGGAAATTACTATTCATATGGATATCCTATCTAGAAGTAACGTCGCTTGCACTCATTGAATTCTTTAGCCGATTTCATAGCCTCTTCAAAGGAGCCACTAAACAGTTACCGACCGTTTTAAGTGTATATCTGCAGTGTTTATTATTAGCTCTGTAAGTTTCATCGCTTCTCTTCGTCAAGAAGATTTGCAATTTATTATATTAAAACAAATCAAGTTCTTGCTGGCTTTCACCACATACTAATGATCTTGGCTTATTCGAGGCTACTGGAATTAAAGCCATTATCGCATACTTAAGCTATACTTTTAATGACTTTTTTTTAATTTAATTTTATTGGTGTTAATTCTACTGCAATTATATAGAAGATAATATAATAATATAATTGCAATAAAAACACTGTTGAACTTCAAAGCACCAGAGTCCGACGGTTTAGCACCGGAAATACTGAAAAATGATCCACAAACAACCGCACACATTATCCACCCGCTAATAGAACATTTTTGGCAGACAGAGAACTTTTCATCTGAAGTCAAAGAGGGTATCATCGTAAAGGTTCCAAAAAAGGGCTACTTAAAAGAAAGAACTAATTGACGAGGCATTACTCTGCTGAACATGAATTATAAAATAATACCGCATGTCATCACCAACAGACTTTTAACTGCATTAACAGCAACGCTACGAAGAGAACAACTTGCATTCCGACCCCACATGTCTTGTATTGATCACATAAACAGCTTAAGAGTATTCGTTGAACTATCTATAGAATGGAAAACACCTTTCTGTTTGTTATTTATAGACTTCGAAAAGGCCTTCGATACATTATGTCACATAGTAATTTAGAACGCGCTCATCAAAGCAGTATACGAGGATGCCAGTTGCCGGATACTGCAAGAGAAATATCTATTTTGGCATTGGGCGAAGGTGGCGGAATAATTTGGGATCTTCAAGATAGCTTGAGTGATCTTGATTACGCCGATGACTTGTGTCTGCTGGCACATAGGTATTGTGACATGTCTCGCAACCAAAATCGTTTAGTAACTATGGCAAACACAGCGGTACTTAAAATCATTGTTACCAAAACAAAAGTTATGCGCATTAATGCTAACGTCCAAGATCCTTTTATTATAAACAACTGCTGTCTTGAGGATGTAGAGTCTTTCTACTATCTTGAAAGCGTCATATCAACAAATGGTGGATCCAGTGCTGATATCGAAAATCGTATCAAGAAGGAGATCAAGAAGGATACGAATATTTAACTCCAATATAAAACCTTGGCTCCTATATGGATGTCAATCTTGGAATGCTGCGGAAAACGGCATCAATGCACTACAAGTTAAAGTATTTTGGCCAAATACAATTCCAAATGAACGTTTATGGTCTTTAACTCAACAAACACAAAACCGAAATCAAAAAACCCAAATGGGACTGGGTCGGTCACACTTTGCGTAGACCGACTGGTGACACCACAATGGCGATTGAGTGGAACCCGATGGGAAGAGAAGAAGGAGCAGACCTGCACACACTTGGAGAAGGCAAATTGATATGGAAATGTTGCACATGTGGAATAGCTGGGAAGAGTTGAAGCTACTAGCCAACAATCCTAGGAGTTAAAGGATTCAAAATATATATATAATATAATAGGTATATCGTGCATCTTAAACTTTTGCTAACGCCTAACTTGCAGAAAAAACTGTACTATTTAGTTTATCTTAGAAACAAACTATTAAGTTTATTCTGGTATGTTTTATTTATTGTAATTACTATTCCTTAGCTGTTACTTACTCTATTTGCTATTATAATATCCAAATAACAGGACAGAAATGAATATCATGTGAGAGTTACAAATAAATTTTAAAAATCATTTTATTACACCTATTCTGCAAAGTAATCGTCTTACCACTGTCTAGCAATTCATGTATATATATAAATATGTATATATAAATATCTTATATACTAATACATGATCATAAAATTCTTAAGTTTTAATTTTTTATAAAGTATAATTAAAAATTGGTCAATAACAATAATAAAAATTATAAAAATTGGTTTAATCATAATACAATAATACGATACTTGCTCTGATACATATGTGGTTTATATACATAAGTACTTCGTTGAAAACATGTTGTTTTACACTAAATAGTCTATAAAAGATAAGATAGTGGAGACTGTGCCTTAAAGCAAAACTCACAGAAGTCCATGACAAGCAAAATAATTCTTCGAAATCAATTAAGTGCCCATTTAAAATTTTTGCTCTAAGGGAATTTTTTTCTTAAATTAAATATTAAATAAAATTCAGTTAATAAAAAAATTTTTTATTTCACTTTTGATACTAATACCTCTATTTTACAAACTCAAATTATCTGAAAATATTCTCAAGTTAATCCTCTTCATCCTATTAATTTTAGGATGTGCTGTATTTCAACACCTTATTCCAACACCGACTATCTCTAATTTTGATCTCTTTTGTCTGGTCCAGTTTTTTCTAATGTCCTGCTATTCTATTTATTTTTCACTACTCTTATTTGGTGCTATATCTGTTCGAAACGATTGTATCATGTATGACCAATTTATTACATATTTTTTTATATATAATATATAATTTTTGTTATTTAAATGTTTTGTAACCGTGTACGAGTATATATGTAGATTTACTTAATTTTCCGTACATGTATACCTGAACGTAAAGATTCTTCAAAGATACTACATAAATCATTGATGTGCGTCATTCATTCATTCACTCTATTCGGTTTAAAAGACTATAACGTTATATTCGTAGAATGATTACGTTTTCTATTATCATATACATGTTAAAATGTATAACTTGTTTATATTCATAAAACTAGCCTTTCGCCTTGATTCTTCTAGTGATATCCTCTATATTCAGTTTTAAATATATTAACAGATGTGTATAAAACAAAACTACAGCCGTAAACGTTAAAGTTCCTTTGGCCGAAAATATGTCCTACGGCACAAAAACTTTTAAATTTTAACTCTCTTCATCTCAGAAGAACTGAGCATATCATCATATTATAGACTTCCATATCACTGTAGTATTTTTCAAACAGAAGAGACTACGATAAAGGAAGCTTTAGCTTTCCTTTCCTTTCGAATAGATTATATACTCGAAAGGAATACTATCTAATATACTATCAGATAGTCAAGCTGCTTTAAAGTCATTTAGTTTAGTCCACTTTACATATAGGGCAGTCTTTGACTGCTGCACATCTCTAAATGAGATGTCGACGCAGTTCAATATCTCTCGAATCTTCCCGGTCATAGGGGAATTTTCGACAATCGCAAAGCAGACTAGCTAGCCAGACGGAGTGCATCAGTTTTTAATAATATGGTAGCAAAAGTGGATCTCCTGGAATAGCCGGTATAATCTAACCTAACCTAACTTTCTTCAACTTTCGTGCTTGAAAATTAAAAAAAAAACAGTGTTTAGTAGTCCCTTTTTATCATAGAAGACATTAAAGTGGACGTCTTCAGCACAAACTTTTGCAGAACTTTCTTGATAAGAATATAGACAAGCGTTAATATAGATAATTTATGAATGCTCTTATGTCTATTATTAAACCCAGATGGTTTAAGAGAGATACGTCTGGAAATTTTTTTTATGAAATTATTTGCAATTGTCAAAATCATATTAACAACTCTGTTATTAAAATTAGTAAAATATTTATAGTTTAATAAATTTTTTCCATTATGAATATGTGAAGTATGTAATTGTTTATATTTAATTAATGTATAATTACAATAACAAAGTATTTTCACTTTCAATATTCTATTCCATTTACATTCCGTTCAAGTTTTGAAGAATCACTTTATCGGTTATAATCAGTAAACGAACGACCAATAACCAATTTTATCTAATCTGTCTTTAATTTCGTTGGTCATTAATTGCTTTTTGCGTTTATTATTCTTCAGTTTCCTTAACTTTTAAGAGTTTTTAAATTTAATATTGATCAATTAGTTTAAGTTTGTTAACAGCCTCAAACGTCGTGCTCAGTAGTTGCGGCCTGCATACAGAAGTAGTCATAAAAAACCTTATCAAAGCATTTATCATTCCTTTTAAAACAACAAAAATTTCAAAAAAAACATTAGGCAAGTTTTTGTTTTAAATAATTTATAAATAATTAAAATACGTATAGGTACGTATTATTTTCTTATTAGATATCGGTTATGATCAGTGTGGTTTTTGGCAGCTTTTGATAACATTTCCAAACATATGGTTATGTTGCCTTTGCTTTTGTATAGCGGATTTTCCATCCACTACTCGTATTTAAGGGGCTTTATTACTTATTGATTAAAATTTGGTTTCAGTGTTTACTTCTTGTACTCTTGCTTTTATATTGTTGCCTTATAACACTAAAATTCGCCGAAGGGATGACAACGTGTAACATATATTACTTACTTATATAATTGTTCCCACCAATGGAATATATATCCTCTTCATGCTCGAGACTCCTCAATCTCGTACGAGTGGTATTAAAGGTCCCGACTGCCATATGAAACACTTCTTTCACATGACCAAGCCACAGAGCAACTGAATATTAATTCACTGGATATCGTGCATATAGTGCAAATCTCATAAAAATCATGGTTCTTTTGTATGTGTAAATCATCGTCAATTCATGGGGTACCACATAAGTTTCCTCTCAAACACTTTCATTGGTGTGCTATTAAATATACGCTTAGATGGGATGGAATATAACTTATGTCGGTTGAAAAAAGTCTGAATTCTAGTTTTGTAGCGTCTCTAGTAATATCTGTTGACTGGTGGAATTTGTTCATCCCCATGCTAAGATAGATAAGTCCTTTGATACTTATATAATTTGCTACCACAGTTTATTCTCTAAGATTTACGTATATTCTAAATTGAATTAAAAACCTGTAACAACTATAAGATTATAAGTTCTATGGTATATAATTAAATAAGCTAGCATAGAGAGTCATAATGAACTTGCGTTTAGAAAATTAATATCCAATTAATAATTTTACCAACGCTTCTCAATGCTTGTTGGCTGCTCTGACTATGTCCGCTCCGATATCTTCCTCCGTAAGCGAGCCGTCAATGATCCATGTGATTGTGCCATTCGTGAGCTGATAGGTTTGATTAATGACTTCCTTGCTCTTTTTGTTGCTTAGTTCAGTTTTAAAGAGCTTAGTAAAGCTGAACTTAGGATTCATCTGAGACGCGATGAAAATCCCAGGCATTGAAAATTCTGTTTAGCAAGATTTTCGAATGCTATGGTGCTATGGAGCCAACTGTCCATTAGGTTTCCTTTCTTCATTCTTAAAACTGCCCTTTCCGTTTGGTACCTGATGCATATCGGCAAAGGTGTGACTTCTAGAACAACCTCAATGGATACTGTTGGATTGTAGAAATAGTGTTCGTTATTTATTTTATCACGTTACAGTTTTTTATAAAAGCATTTTCATAAACATAATATGGATTCTGTATTGCTGTGATTGATAGAAGAGAAAGTGAATATTAAGGTGCGGTAGAGGCAACTTTCTTCCAAGTTGGCAGAAAACAAACGTATCCATAGGTGTTCTGTGAAGGGTCTGTTAGTGTACAATAGCTACGGAATTGTATAGCAGCGAAGTGCCTGAAGAGGTTTGAATTTTACCTTTGATGGCCTTTTGTGTCTGTGAAAAAAATAAAAAAAAATGACGTATTATTTTGTTTTTGTTTCCAATAAAATCCGATTGAAACACTGTTAAATTAAACATTTAAAGAATTATTGTATTACTGTATATGCTATAAATATATTTGTCTATTTTCTCTTGTAGTTTGAATAAATTATTTACTAAATCTTTAATTCGAATGCGGTATCAAGATGCCATCAACTGAAATTCGTCGAAATAACAACCACTTATGTGGCTTAGCCAGTTGGCATCCACTATGGATGCAAAAATATGCAACAACAAAAATGTTCATGGCAGTTTATGGATTACTGGGAACCATTCAGGCGATGTCGTATATGTATTTCATAGTAACATTAACAACGATTGAGAAACGCTTTAAAATACCAAGTCAAACAACAGGTGAGTAAAGGCCATCTTATCACAATATAGTACTTAGTATGTACAGGGGTATGATATAGTCAGAGAACCAAAGTTCTTAAAAATATAAAAGTAATAACTAAAAACTTATTATACATATGTTTAAAATTTAGAGGATGTTAGTACCATCGGACATTACTCAATAGATATCAGGAGTGGACTATAATCGAAAACTTTGAAAGTCAACATTGCTTACAATATTCGTAGGACACTTCCTCTAATGATTGCAAATTAAACCTCCAGAAAGTTTTTCCAGAAAGTTTTTTAGACTCCCTCGTAGCAGAAATATATATATTTAAATATATATATATATTTTTAATCCTTTAACTCCTAGGAGGAGCATAGGGCCGCAAATATATTGAAACAAAGTTCTTAAAAATATAAAAGTAATAACTAAAAACTTATTATACATATGTTTAAAATTTAGAGGATGTTAGTACCATCGGACATTACTCAATAGATATCAGGAGTGGACTATAATCGAAAAAGAGAGTCGACGTATAGACTACCAGAAATATTACCGTGGACTTACCAATAACAATGTAGTCAGGCGATGAAAAGGGCTGTAAAAAAAAGCACTTTGACTGGATCGACTGATCTTATATATTGTTTTTAAAGATCTTCAAAAAATCAGAACAAATAAAATAATTAAATATTGTTTCAATAATTTTTATATTCTAAACATTGGTATGTTCCAAATCGACGCTGTGAAAGATTTTGTGCAAAGATCTTGCCTTACGTCGTTACAAGTTTAAATTGGTGCCACAATTGAACCCACTCGATTATGGCTTGCATTATTACTGCAGTGAATATGTTAAATGCTTGAATTCATCATATGTTTTTCTGCAAGATGTTGTCCAGCGATGAGGAACTTTATATCGTTCGCTTCAGCAACTAAATCAAAAAGCAATGTTGCTGGCACTAGGAAAAATGTAGAGTTCGACTAAGTTTATGGGCTGTGGATGTCATCGGGTGATAGTGATCTTGAAACATTTTTTATTTTCAAAAGTGCGTGAACATTGTCAATAGGATGAAGGTAATTGTCACTTCTTAGGCAACCATCGACGTACTAAAGGAAGTTGTTTAACAACATAACGGATATGGTTAGACAACAAGATCGTGTTATTTGAATCGCTGATCTGCACGAAAAGGTCAAAATCAATTTCAACTTTGAAAGCCAACATTGCTTACAATATTCGTAGGACACTTCCTCTAATGATTGCAAATTAAACCTCCAGAAAGGAGTAGACTCCCTCGTAGCAGATATATATGTATTTAAATATATATATATATATATTTAATCCTTTAACTCCTAGGAGGAGCATAGGGCCGCAAATATATTGAAACCTGATTCAATTTGTTTATTTGTGTTACTTTTTTAAACTTAAATTTTTTAGAGTATTTAAAATAGAGTCACAGAGAGATCTAAATGATGATCTGAGGGCTACAATTTAATTTATATTTTAGATTTTATATATTAAAGTCGTCACACTCAATATTATTAAAAGAATTTTTAAATGAAACATAATCTGACATAAAAAACATAATCTCAAATTTATTATTTCAGGAGTTATTTTAAGTGGCAATGAAATATCACAGATTTTACTGTCTCTTATATTATCATACATTGGTGGACAACGTAATCGACCACGATGGATTGCTTGGGGTATTGTTTTCTGTGGCCTTTCCTGCTATATATTAGCTTTGCCGCATTTCATTTATGGTGCTGGTGAAGATGCATTGCAACTAACAAAGGAGTACTATGAAAGCATGGAACTTGGTGGAAATGTGACAAACACAATCTCATTGGTTGTAGGTGAACATTGTTTTCCTCCTAATAAGAATTCCTTAAAACTTTTCCATTTATTTATATGGTAAACACGAATATAATTTCATTTTCGATTTTATAGAATTTTACAATCAAAGACCCACAACACTTATGTGGTTCCATCATGTCTTCAAATGAATGCGATACTCTTCTAACAATCGTTCCATTGATATTAATATTCCTCTCTCAGTTTGTGCTTGGTATAGGAAATACTCTTTATTATTCACTTGGGCAAACTTATCTCGACGATAATACAAAGAAGACTAATACTCCACTTATGTTGGCAGTAGCGATGTCCCTGCGAATGATTGGTCCAATAGTGGGCTTTTTCCTAGGTAAGCTAAACATTTCTACAATGTTAATAAATCAATTAAAATTATTCTCTTTAGGTTATATTTCTCTTAACATGTTCATTGACCCGACAAAAACTCCGCTTATCGATAATACGGATCAACGCTGGCTGGGTGCCTGGTGGTTCGGTTGGATGTTTTTAGGCACTTTAATGATACTTTTTTCTGGACTAATTGGTTTATTTCCTAAAGAATTACCAAAACGTAGAAGTGCGCATTATAACTCCCACTTACCACAAGTTTTGCGACATGAAGAACTACAAGTTGATGAGGGGTTACCTTTAGGTAGTGGGTTCTCCTCAAATGCCGCATTGGACACACCAACAGCGGCTACATCTGATTTTCCTACTCTCAAGGGTAAACTAACTTCAGTCAATTTTAAAGAATGTACATAATAAAGTACTGTAATTTTAGATTTTCCCAAGGCATTAATGCGACTTCTGCGTAATAAATTGCTCATCTTTAATATAATTTCTGGTATTTTCTATGTTTTGGGCGCTGCCGGTTACATGACTTTTCTAACTAAATACATGGAAGTGCAATTTCATAAGAACGCACAAGGTGCTACAATTGTCGTGGGCCCAGTATCTATTATTGGTATGGTTATTGGATTAATCGGTTCTGGTTTAGTAATCTCAAAAAACAAGCCAAAACCGAGTAAGGTGCTCATGTGGAATGTTATCGTAGGTTGTATATATATTGTGGGACAAATCTCTTACATGTTTATGTATTGTGGCGATTCCCTATCTGTACTCAAGGATGGACAGTATGTTTTTTGTTGAAAAATATCAATTATTTAAATAGTTTTTTATTATTTAAACTCTTATTTTTAGAGTCAATCTTTCCTCTTCTTGCAATGCAAATTGCTCATGTGAAGGTGTCCCTTATTCACCCATATGTCATGAACCTTCAGATACAACTTACTTTTCACCATGTCATGCTGGTTGCTTAAACTGGAATTCAGAAGAAAAGGTATAACAAAGTATTTTATAATAAATGTTTTTTGTTGTTTTTAATAAAAATTTAAAATAGTTTTACTCTAACTGCTCTTGCCTACCTATTGCGGATACACATTTACCAAATATCGAACTACCTACTTCACCACACTCATTAAGCGATTTTTCCACTACAATGCAAAAGCAATTACCACATATATTGAATGTACTCCCTATCAGTACGGATGGATCTGTAATAACATCGTACCCTTCCGTAACTACTACAAAATCATTAAGTCACATGTCATCAACAACAACAACAACCACAACTACTACAACTCCTTCTACTACTACAACTACTACATCATCTACTGTAGAATCTCTTAGCAGTATATTTGACGAACTGACAACAGAACCGTTTATTTCACGTACTAGACGCAGTTTAGAAGAAATGTCAGACAACCTTAAGCCCGGTGTCTGTCTTAAAGGTTGTAGTACCAGCTTTTGGGCCTTTACCATAGCTTCCATGATAGTAAATTGGGTGGGTTCATCTGGTCGAATCGGCAATTTACTCGTGAACTATCGTGCAGTATCCACGAAAGATAAATCTTTTGCTCAAGGTTTGTCTCTTATGATGGTGAGCTTGTTCGCACTAATACCGGGTCCTATTATATTTGGACGGATTATAGACTCAACATGCTTAGTATGGACCCAAACGTGCAACGGTAAAGGAAACTGCCAATTGTATGATCAGACAACATTCAGATATTATGTCAACATACTGGCATTTTGTAAGTATAAGAAATCAAACTGTCCTTAAAGAAGTCATATCTACAATATTATAATACCATACAAACGGATGCTATGAGTTCTTTAAATTGAATCTTCTTTCTTTATATTTATTAAATAATTAAACAATATCACAATATCATTTTTTAGCACTAACTGCTTTCGGTGTTATTTTTGATGTTCTTGTCTGGTATCACGGCCGTGAGTTGGACTTATATGGTGACCGGGACACCCAACGTTCTCAAGAAATGACTCGTAGAAATAAGCCTATTACACCATTATTAGCGCGAAAATAAGAAATCGTGTAGTTATAATTTTCAAAGTGCAATTGATATAGCTAGGTACTACTTGAGTCAATGTATGCAGGGTGACATATTGTAACCCAGATACATTTTAGTTTTAAGGTTTTGAATTTTTAACGTTAACACTGTGTATAGCCACTAAAAATTTGCAAGTTATGGATGTGTTGCACTTATAGATTCCTCATTTCCTATTTATAAAAACTAGAAGAATTCTGTACTACAGGGCCCCATTTATTATATGTATGTGTAAAATGAAAAGAATTTTTATAATTTTATATAAAATAATATTTGTTAATGGAATAAGTAAATAAAATTGTTAATTAGTATGTATAAAGAATATAATTCATTTTATATTAAATTTTATCTTTGGTTAATTTATTCTTCGTTTTTAGGAAAATTGTGACGAATAAGTCTACAATAAAAATATAGATGATATCACTAAGAAGCAAATTTCCAGTAAGACGTTTTATTTCAAAGTTTTCTTCCATGCGTAGTGTAACTAAATTGTAACTGATTTAAGATCCTAAATGACCTCTAGAAACTGTAGAAAAAAATCAAAATCTGTATTCACTCTTTTATAACAACTGTTATATAAACTATACTGTAATACAGTATCTTTTTGTATCTTAAATATTCTTATGTAGTGACAACAGTGCCTTCATAAACAAATTAAATGAAGAAGAAGAGTTAAGAAAAAATTGGGTTTTTTATTTGCATATATATCATGATAGATATTAACTAAAACTGTAGAATCATTAAAATTACACTTTTCATCATCTCTCAAAGTACTCTTTAGAAAAAAGTTCTTTCATTAGGTCGTGTGAAAAATATGGTAGTTAATGTTTTGAATGATTTACAATTTTTGTGTCTCTCTTATCAACAAAGATAACAAACACATCTTCGGGCCATCACCACATGTAAATGTATGGTACAGGTATATCATATATGTATGTTTAATAAAAAACCGAATATTGGGTTGTTGTTATTCAAATCAGCTAAAAATCCTTAAAAATTATGGGACTCAAAGATCCCCGATTCAGTAGGAGAGGTTTACACCTAGAGTAGCTGCTCTCTGTCACTAAAAATAAATGAAAAATAGTTTGTTTTCATCAAACAGATGCATTTGCAGTTGAGATAGTAAATATTGAGAGTGAACTTCGAGGGACTTGTTGTACGAAAGTTCGTTATAACCTTCCGTAAAGAAGTATCCATGGCCGTAAGTTCTTTCCTTTCAGCAAGCCGTATAGCAAGTATTGACGTCTTTTTACTTGGTTATTGTACCAAAATTTTAATGGGAACTTTGAAAAAATGTCGTTCTATGCATACATTTATTTCATAGAAATAATAAACTGGGACGACTTGCCAGAGCTCTATCCAAGTGTTTCTATTTCGAATATTTATGCTATTATTGACATATTATACACATATTTCGGTTCATCCGTCCGTCCTTCCAAATGGCTGGTAAATCTCTACACATATCCTTAAATGGTTTTGGAACGGAGCCATGATAATTTTGATTGCAGAATAGAAACATTTTTTCATTAAGTAATTTAAAAGTCCAAAAACATTTAGAGACCTGGCAATTATGAAAGACCTCTGGAATTTTTTTGTAATTATTTTGCCTAATTTTTACATATTCCTTTATGCAATAAAGTAATAGGCCAATTTCCAATTTGCATTTTTTTTGTAGGCAATGTGGAAACAGATTTATTAGATATCAGTTGGATTGAAACTGATTGGATTATCTGATGGACCTAGCGAAATTGCAACAGTTTTGTTTTGAATATTAAAAGTTTTGGATTATTTAAAAATGTAGTACAGAGAGAACTCTCCAACAATACTAAATTCTAGAACATTCCAATCGAACACTTCAAAAGTTCGAGCTCCTCGAAGATGTTTGGAATAATAAGCTCTATGACAGCAAATATTAGAACACCATGTGAAGTTCAAACATTCGCGCAGTACGCAAATCGAATATATATATATATATATATATATATATATATATATATAAGTTCTGTGTTTTTTATGATTTATTTTCTTGTTTTTAATTAATAAAAAATCTTTATTTTTTAGTGTATTTTTTTAATGGTGTATAAATATTTCAGTTTGTTATATAATAATTAATTTTTTTTAAATTAATATATTATATTCCCATTGTTTTTTACTTTATAATTAAATATAAATATTCGAATATTTAATATTTATTTATTTTTTATTTATGATTTGAATTTCTTTTTTTTTGTTTTTTCTTAAATAAATTTTTTTAATTTGTGTTAAGTCATTTCCGTTGTTTATCCAAAACTTTCTTTCATGTAAGAAAGTAGTTCAATATTACTTATATATTTTATTGTACAATTAATTAATTAAAAAAACTATAGTGAAAAAAGCACTTGTCTGTTTTAGTTAATCAAATTAACTAATTTTTTTGGGTTATAATGATTTTTTTAGCAAAATTTTAATTATTTTTATATTTTGATTTTTATATTCAATTATAATATTTATTATTTTAGAATATGTTGTTTTGTTTTTTAATTTTATATTCAAATATTTCCCTTTCATTATTCTTTCAAATTTTTTCAATAATTTAACAAAAATGTATAATAACTTAAATAATTTATAAAACAAATATTTTTAATTTTATACATCATATGATTTTAAAATATTAAATATTTTTATCGAGAAACCTTTAAACATTAAAGAGATTTTGTAACGAAATTTTATTTAAAACACAAATTAAATATAAATAAAAATTTCCTCAAAACCGAACCAATAAATTTGAAAAATTATAAATCACTTTAATTAACCAATCAAGTCTCTTTAACTTTTAATATGAACTTTATTCTTTCAAAAATCTAAAGAAGAATCTAGAAGCAAAATTATTAATCGAAATCCTCCATTTCCTCCCAAATTCAATAAAATTATTAAATGTACACTTAGTTGAAGAAGAATGTAGATGTATCTGAATAGCTATTTTTGCATTTGCAATGTTGTTAATACGAGTATGTTAGACTAAATAAAAACTGATGAAGATTGAGAACTGTTTTTTCTGGAAACTGACACTGTTATAACATAGGTATATTATCTTCACAGAGGGATAACCTACTAGGTTTATCACATTTCAGACTACATAGAGGGACTACATATTAACTAAGCTGATACAAATATTATTAAAACTTAATGAAGAACTTAAGAATTTAGGTTATAGCAGCAGTTCTGACAAATTGGTTATTGGGTCTAACCGAATTCGCAACTTTCTTCGCAAAAGAAAAATAGGAAAGCTTTCCACTGATACATCCACGAAGAAATTATCTGGATGTATGCATTTCTTTCGATGTTGACTTTAAACCCTGAAAACACTAAGGACAAACACTATTATTTATGGAGCAAGTAAAACTTAAAAAATCAGTAAGTTATTAAAAGGACCACGACAAACATTGAGGCTGTGGTGCTTCATCTTCTCATAATAAAAATAATAATAATAAGCATAATGAAAATAAAAATAACAATAATAAATTAGCATTTTTATAATAATAAAAATAACAAATAATTACAACAAAATAATAAAAATTATAGTAATAATAATAATATCTAAATTCTATTTAGAATTTAGAGTAATAAGAAGTCGCATAATATTAATAATAATAATAAAAATAATAACAATTAATTTAATCATGAAAAAATTCCTTTATATTTATAGATATAAACTTCGAAACAGTAATAAAAAATTGTAAACGGAATCTAATTAATTAATTAATCTAATTAATTTAAACGAAATTTGCTTAAGACAGATTAATCAGTATTTTACCAAAATCTATTAAAAGAAACATAGAGAAAAACTCGAATTAATGTTCATTAATTGCTCATTTGTTTTAGGTTTCCAGTAGTTATCGTTGTAAACAGAAGTTCAGAAAATCTAGCATGATATCACATTTTCAGAAGAAGTATCAACCTATCTTAAGAATGCTCTGGTATCTTGTAAAGTATCTTGTTATTCGTCTAGTGAAAAAAATACAAAACACTTCATAGAATATACCAATGTCGTTACAAAGAGTACACTATTTTGTAAATAAGTACACTATTTTGTAGACAAAATAGAATCCGAATACAAGGCATATAATAAAAACAAATCATACATAACGATATCATAAACGGAATCATAAACGAAGTTTAACGAATGTTAGTTTCGCATGTTCCATATTTAGTACATAGAGAGTACCAAGAATATATATATATGCTTTCTATTGCACATCACAACATCGTGTCTTATTTCGATGAACATCTGCAAAGAATTCTAAAAGAGGATCATGAAGATTACCCCATGAAATGAAATGCATGCAGCATGCCAAACAAAGTCCCTTCACGAAAGACTGGTTTGTTTTTTTAGATAGTCATTTGCATTAGGACTACCATTCCAAAATATGTGAAGAGCGTGCTATATGTACATTCAAGCATTTGATGTTTTTATAAATAAATTAAAATAAATTAAAACGAATAAATTGTACTCAAATTACTTGCAATGGAAATAAATAAAACTCCGAAATTTATTAATTAAAAATTATTTTCTCCGAAAAATATGTAATAATTATAGCACACCTACGGATGTATCTGCAAAAATACTCGTAATTTGTAAATAATACGATTTCAAATGCAAATATTGTAATCAACATTGGTTTATACTCGTAGTAAAAAAATTGCTAATAAATTGTAAAATCTAAACTATATATACCGGTTTACTATATATGTATATATAGAAACAAAGTCTCAAAAACTGAACGACATATAGATTGATTCTGATCACTGAGGTTGATAATCAGCTTGAATGATAACCAGGTTTAGTTAAGAGAACACATACATTTTTATGGTCAACATTGTGTATTTGCAAAACTCTATTTATCTGCTACTCTATTTATCTATTAAGATGCAGTAGACAAAAACAACCACGAAAATTGCTAGAATTTATATATGTTGAATGTTGAAAATTTATTTATCTCATACAGTTCCTCTCAGAATAAAGAATCACGCTTTTTATTATTAATAATTTATTACGCCGATATATCTCAAATAGCTCAATATAATTAGTTTCTAAAAATGTATTTAGCTTCCTAAACGTTATGGGCTTCTAGTCGTTGATTTTTTTATAGATTTTCAAAGTAACATGGTAATATAAATGATACATCCAATAAATAAATACATCGAAATTAAAAAATACAAAAAAATGCCAAATTAATTTAAAAACATACTATTTAAAATCAGAAGTTTGGTACACCTACCTATACCAGTTTTACTTATAG